GCATGATACTGGCATCTGTGGTTGTACCAACATACATACCAATGTAAGGAAGGCTGTTAAAGGCCCGGAACTACTGTGAGACAAGCTAGAACCATTCCTAACAGCACTGTTACCCATAATACAAGATGCCATAGCATCCTGTTAAGCTACATCCTGTTGCAGACCCAATTCTATACATGTTCTACAATTCTTTAGTGACATCATGCACCATCACAAGACACCTATTTAAGGGCGGGATTGCACTCATGTTGCCCTTTATGACATTTACCAATAACCACATAGCACTGGTTACTCCATCTGGAATGGTGCCATGTCCACATTTCATAAATGGCCATGGAATGGCCATTCATGAAATCATATTCAGCGATGAATCCCACATCAGCCTGCAAGCAGATGACCATTGCATCTGTGTCTGGAAGAGACCTAGCAATTGCTCCTAAGAAGCCTATGTCGTGAAGTGTCACATATGTATTACCCCTAGTGTTACAGTCTGGAATGCCATGGCTTATGACAACAGGTCTTTCCTAGTAGTCATCCAAACAACATTAACAGCCCAGTGACACACAGATGACATCCTGTGTCCAGTTCTGTTACCAGTATTACTGCAGGCATGTCTATCAGTAGCCATTTTCCAACAAAATAATGCTTGGCCCAATATGGCATGTGTCCCAGGAATGTTTCCATGCTGTTGAAACCCTTTCTTGGCCAATGAGATCCCCAGACCTTTTACCCATTGAGCACATATGGGACATGATGGGTAAGCAAGTATGGACAAACTGGAGTATCCACAATCCGGAGGAGCAGTTGCAAAACTCCTGAACAAACCTTCAACAGGATGACATCAGGACTCTGTATCACTCCATGTCAAGCCTTATCTCAGAATGCATTACAGCTAGAGGAAGTTTCACAAGGTACTAATCTGTAAACATTGCTTTGTCACTGTTTGCTATTAAACAGGGATGCACAACCTTTTCTGAAGAAGGGCCAAATTAGGATTAAGTTTATTGACTGGGGGCCGGACCTCCAAGCGATTAATGCGATGGCTGAGATTGGATGCTGNTACTTTTACTACAAAAACAATACAATAAATAAATAAACAACAGTAAATAAAATTAATTAAATAGCATAAATAAATAACACAATAACAAGGCCCAGTATAACAACTATAAGCTTTAAGGGTTTTTAAAAACCACGCGTGCTCTCCTATATATATTATCGTGGTCCAACGAGCCATATAAATACAAGTTATCAGCATTTAAGGCACTTATTAGAAGAGCGTTTTTATACTGCACTAACATTCAGGACAGTATTAAAGAGATTAGTAGAATTATAAGAATTGCAACAAATCTAGGATACAAAACCACCACAATAGAAGGCCTAGTCAAAGGTTACAAACAACATAAAAGGCAAAAAACATACTAAAGTAGATGCAATTAACAAATTCACATACAATAAATGTATAGGAGGAGTGATAAATGAATTGAGTACTTATAAAAATGCAAAAATGGTATATAAAAGAGCACCCAACATCTTTAGGTTAATAAGGAATGATAAAGACAGCATAAAAATGCAAGAGTAGCTGGAGTTTATAAAATACCATTTGAGAATCAAGAATTAGGAATAGCAAATGATTATGTGGATGTAACCAGAAGAAACTTAGCAATATGTCTGCGAGAACACAAATACAATGTTAATAAAAGGCACAGCAACACCATTTTAGCAGTCATGGCACAGACAGAAGCAGGAAATGTAAAATGGGATAGGTAAAAATCATTAAAACGGTTCAATCTCCATCCATTGCACTAAAAATGGAAAAAATGGAAATATATAAAAGTAAAATGAAAAACCATTGCCTAAATGCCAAAGATGCTAATACTCTTCAAACAGCGTGGAAGTACAGTACATGATAGAAAAAAGTATGGGGATTAAAGACCCTTAAAGCTTGTAGTTGTTATACTTAGCCTTGTTATTGTGTTATTTATTTATGCTAATTAATTTATTTTATTTACTGTTATTTATTTATTGTATTGATTTATTTTTTCATTTATTTAATATACACAATTATTGTAAAAATCTTTTAAATATAAAATGAAATGTATTCAAAAAAATGTTGTGTTCCATTTTGGAACAGTAATCGTAAACCTGAAGATGGCCTATAATAAATAGGTTGAACATGTTTGAGAATAAAATAATTTCTGCTTGGCAAAAAATTCTGGTGTGTTGATATAAGGTATGTTTCAAATTTATACGGACATGAACAATTAAAGTGAAACCCAAATTTGCTGCATTAAGNTATTTTTCTCTACTGTCACTCTCCTCTCCCTCCTTCTTCTTTCTTTTCCGCCCCATTTTTCCGTCAGCTAAACACTCTGTGCACGGCCGAAGTCTTTCGTTTAAGTGTGTATAAGAAATATTGATGGTATTAATGTTTACAATACGGAAATGAAGGAGGTGGGGAGAAAAAGGTGAATTACATCTGGAGTCGTCTTTTTGCGTGTGCGCGTACACACATTAATCTTTCTACACATTTATCTCTCTAATAACTGTTAAATTTCCGCCGGAAATGGGCTACATCGCTCGACGTGTTTTTAAGAATGCCGTTCGTTTCCTCTGATGATTTTCATACCCATTATAGACGTCTTGATAGAAGAAGTGAAGGGTTACCCTTTTGTTTAACAGGAAATTTACGTCATACTTTTCTAAATCTTCAAATAAGTGATGAAACTTTCCCATAAATGATATAGATAAAACTAAAATTAGAACAAAAAACTATAGTCATCTCCATTTTTAAGACATTGATATAAAATTTAAACAAAAATGTACAAACAGCGATGTATTTAAAACCCACGCATGCTCCCCTATATATACCATCTTGGTCCAACGATTCATATAAATACAAGTTATCAGCTTTATAATTTATTTTTTATACTAGTACTTTCTATATATTAACAGGACTTATTATAATTCACCTGTGAACTAAATAAAGAACATTATTTTTGAACTGTAAGACTAAATATCTGCATCCATAATTTCCCAGTATAATAAGTCCTGTTAATATATAGAAAGTACTAGTATACAAAATAAATTATAAATAGATAAAAAAAAGGACAAAAAGGCATAACAATTACAAGTTATCAGCATTTAAGGTGCTTATTAGAAGAGCGTTTTTATACTGCACTAACATTCAGGACTGTATTAAGGAGATTAGTGGAATTAAAAGAATCGCAACAAATCTAGGATACAAAACCGCGCACAATAGAAGGCCTGGTCAAAGATTACAGACAACATAAAGGCAAATATAAAAACGCAAGAATAGTATATAAAAGAGCACCCAACATCTATAACTTAATAAAGAATGATAAAGACAACGTAAAAATGTAAGAGAAAGCTGGAGTTTATAAAATACCATTTGAGAATCAAGAATTAGGAATAGTAAAGGATAATGTAGGTGTAACCAGAAACTTAGCAATACGAGAACACAGATACAACGTTAATAAAGGACACAACAACACTATTTTAGCAATCATGGCGCAGACAGAAGGAGCGAATGTAAAATGGGATGAGGCAAAAATCATTAAAACAATTCCATCCATTGCATTAGAAATGGAAAAAATGGAAATATATAAAAGTAAAATGAAAAACCGTTGCCTAAATGCTAAGCATGCTAATACGCTTCCAACAGCATGGAAGTACCGGCACATGATAGAAAAAGCATGGGAATTAAAAACGTTTAAAGCTTGTAGTTGCATAAATAAATAGCATAAATAAATAACAAGGTAACAAGGCTAAGTATAATACTTAGCCTTGTTACCGTGTTATTTATTTATGCTATTTAATTTATTTTATTTACTGTTATTTATTTATTTATTGTATTGGTTTATTTTTTCATTTATTTAATACTAGTAACCCGGGCCGCTCCCTAGTGAAAATTCATATCAATGGGAAATGTTTTTCCCTTCCCGTGGGGGAATTCCCCCGAGGGAGAGGAGAATTTATTTCCTCCGTGGGAGAGGGTAATTTATTCCCCCCCACGGGAAAGGAGTTCTAGCAGCAGCGGTGTCATTCCGAATTATAAATAATAAATTCATATTACAAATAATAATAATTTATTGTTATTTTAAAATCATCGCTAGTGCGCCCTAGTGGGCGTCCTAAGCATACCGTTACAGATATACTGACACGCGATCAATGGCTTATATTATTAGATATATAATTATTGTAAAAATATTTTAAATTTAAAATGAAACGTATTCGAAAAACGTTGAGTTTTATTTTGGAACCGTAATCATAAGCCTGAAGACGACCTATAATAAGTAGGCTGAAAATGTTTGAGAATAAAATAATTTATGCTTGGCAAAAAATTCAGGTGTGTTGTTATAATTAAATTAACATTTATTTATGAAATAATTTAATCCAGTAATCATTTACCTTTATTTTTATTGTTAATTCTTATTTATTATTAATTTTCATTGCATTTATTATAAAAATGAGATTAGAATGATAATCCCAGACCAAGCAAAACTACAGAAAATTAGTTCTATATTTTGCTGAGATGTTAGATACATATGGTGCAAACTCAAGTTAGTTAAACATGAATAAATGAATAAACTTATGTTTTATCTTGATATCTGTATTTATTGATCATTATTATATTACATTTAACATTTAAATGTTATATTATACTACTAGTGAGTGCAACTAATTCAATTCAAAAATATGTTTCTAAGTATACTAGTTTCAATCTTTTATAAATACAAATTGTTGTGAGAGACTGACTTTATAATAGTCAGCCAATAATTATTAGTAATTGTTTATTTTTAAATAAATATATATTAATTAATGCAATGATTAACTCACAAATTCAAAAATTACACAGTGAAGTTAAAATATAAGTTTAAAAAAATTTTTTAACATTTTTTCACTTATTATATTCTAAAGCACTCTAAAAAAATTCAAGCCTTCCATAATAATAATGCAATATATCTGAAAAATATACTCACTTCTTGAAGTTTGTTCAAATTTATCACTTTTCTTTTTTCTTTTCCACTTCCATGGTTTAAACAACCTTCCCAATGCAGATAAACGACTATGTTTCCCTTCCATAGAAGGTGGTGTACTAGTTCTTGAATTAGAACTTAGAGAACTTGTTCTCATATTGTTACTGATTTTTTTACCTAAAATAAAAAAAATAAATAGTTATTTATAGCAACCATCTAATCAATTTTTAAAGACAAATAATCAAAATTTAACTTTTATTTCTTGTACAAAAATTTTGAATGTAAACTAATTTTTAAATATGGCTAAATCTTAATCTGGTAACTTAATGGTATAGTTGATTTTAGAATAAAAAGTTTACTATTATTAATTATCAATTAATTAAATAATACATCTGTCATATTAACAGTAAAACTATCAGACCAAGACTGATTCATGTTCTATGATACTCCTTTTCACCAAGTGATTTTTCTCTCTAGACTACTCTCTGGCTATTTGAAACTCCAATCACCAGATGAATACAATTTTTATAAACTGCAAATTTTGCAACAGGCAGTATGACCCCTACATTAGACATCATCTCTTAATAAATTTAATAATTATAATTAAATTAAAATTTATCACCTCTTTCTCAGCAAATGTAACTAATTATAACAACACACCTGAATTTTTTGCCAAGCATAAATTATTTTATTCTCAAACGTTTTCAACCTAATTATAGGCCAATTTCAGGCTTATGATTACTATTCCAAAATGGAACTCAACATTTTTCAAATATGTTTCATTTTAAATTTAAGATTTTTACAATAATTGTGTATATTAAATAAATGAAAAAATAAATCAATACAATAAATAANATTCCAATTTATTACTTTTGAAAAAAAAAATCTATTAATTATTATAACAGAAAAAAAATATACTTAAATCAACACAATAACTTTAGCTATTGTTAAATCTGATTAACCAAGTCAATAAAAGTAACATGACAATTTCCTTAAAAATTTGGTGCAGATTTTCATATTGCCAAAGTTATATTTTGGATGATTTTAATTTATAAAATCCATTTCAACATTTGAAATAGTATTAAAAGCAAATAATTTACTCTTCAAAATTGTAATTTTAAAAATACACTGATTAATGAAAAGATTAGAGAAACCTACTAATTAATAGTAGGTCAGTCCCCCTCAAGCATAAATGATAGCTGGAATCTACTGAGGCATTGACTATCTGATGCAGGAGGGTTGCTGGAAGTATTAAAAATCATGCCTGGGGTGAAATGGATCAATAAGGCAAAGCATTGTTCTTCTGAAATGCACCATTCCCTTAAATCCTCAAGAGAAGACTACAAAAGGGTGCGAGTGATTATCCAGAACATAATATCATTATATAGCTTTTAAGGATCTCTCCAGACATACTAGGAACTTAGTGAGCTTCATGAGAAGGCTCTTCACATCATCACAAGGCCATCACTGCATTGCAAAAGAACCAACCTGACAGAATGGGTCCATTGTTTCATGTTGTCGATAGTACACTCAAATTCTTCCATCAGACTGGTGCAGCTGGAAATGAGATTCATCTGGCAACACAACTCATTGCCACTCTTCAGGAGGTGAGTTTTGATGTTCCTGGCACTAGGCAGGAAACAATGTCTAATGATATGCAGTCAGCAATGACATACAAATAGTTTAAGGAATACACTGGTTTCCATAGTTTAAGCTATGCAGCATGCTTTGTACTATCTACTCATTTACATTACTTGAAGCTCTAGTACTGAGCCTTCAAGTGATCTGCATCACTGTTGTTCTTCAGTCAAGTCTATACAAGCTTGGAGTATCTTTGTCATCCTGTTATCAGTAATGCATGAGTGGTTTCATTTGCTTGCTGGGCACTGATACAGCCATGGATAGTAGACCAAGTAGACCCTGAAATGGTTGTCCTTGAGAACACTGGGGTTGCTGCTACTTCAAAGATGGAATTGACTGTGTCTTGTGCCAATAATGCATTCATGATCAACATTGATAAGAATGCAAAATTTATCCATTTTTATCAATTGTGATGCATTCTTGGGAAGGCTACATGTTTGCCTATTAATATCTAAAAGTCATGACATACTAAGTGATCTTTTGCCTGAGACACATGTTTCTGAGCAGCAAAAATCTGTTAACATTGGCAATATTTGGGTAGACAAGGAGACAAATTGTCTGAGTTGCACAATCGACAATGGCTGCGTTCAGCAGAATCAACAGTTGTAACTGAGCAAATCGGTAGTTGTTACATAGCAACCCAAATCTGCTGAACAATGAGTGACGTATGCATTGGAAAAGAAGCCTCATTGGTCAATTTCAGGTAGCAATAGGTAGCGTAAATGAAAGACGCTACCAAATGTGATGTCAAAACACCAAACATGTTCCGAAAGAGTGCTACTGTAGAGGGTATTCCGCAGAAAAATACTCAACAGCTCTGGAACCGTTGAGTCTGCTGAACACAGCAGCCAATCTCTTACCTGATAATCCTAAATTTTCACTATTGGCACAAAAGCATATTTCTTTGAGTACCTTATTGTGATATTCTTTAATAGTGTTGTTATAAATTATTTCATACAATTGAATTAATGAAATTAAACATTGTGTTCTATCAACTGTCCACTAGTGACTATCCTCCATTTTTATTTTTGTGTTTACACAAGAGCTGTACTCAAGTAATAAATCTATTCATGCTCATTGGTTACAGCAAGCAACAGACTGTTTCCCAAAAGTCAACATGATTTGACTCCCCAATCCCCAATGACTGCTTTTCTGCTGCCCAGGAAACACATCTTTCTGTCACCCAGTGACATGTTTCCCACAAAAATCACCTAGCGTGGCTCAGCCTTAAGCTTGGTTTGGTTATGTTAAACTCTGCTTGGATGTGTCAGCATACTTCCATCACCACTGTTCTCTGTTTTGATCAGTCACTGTGTGAAACCACATATATAGATCTCTTTACTTTAAAAATGTAAAGATTGAAAATTAATTTCTGAATAGTTTCTTAAGTCAATGTATCATGTAATAATGTTCTAATACAACTATATGGTTGTAGAACATATTGGAAAGAAGTTAATTTTGAATTAAAATGGTATAATTAGCAAAATATCAACTTGTACATTGAAAGCTATAGGCCAACATCTCCTAACCCGATATACAATATAGATATACACCAACAGAATGCCGAAAATCTATCGGGCTAGTTTAGCCCGATAGATTTTCGGCATTCTGTTGGTGAAAGCTATAGGATCCAAATTAGTTTTAGAAATTAAAAAATCCCCTAATTAATTACTATATTGACATAAGATGGCAACAATTATACATATTAATTCAATTATAACTAAAATTAATTAAATTTTATCAGTGAAAAATTATTTTAATTAAATTTTATAAACTTTTTTAAAACTATAACTTTGTTGTTATTTTTAATTAAATTAGTAATGAACTTCTAAAGTATCGCATGTGTGAAAGACTATTTATGAACATTTATAATCTTATTTATATTTTTAGTTATTTTTATTTTGGCCTTTATATTTGTACAGTAAGACCTCATTTAGTGCTTCGGATGCATTCCTAGACGACAAAGCACTAAACGAAACAGTGTTAAACAAGGTCATTTTAACACAGTAAATAGGGAAAGGGGAACACATGGCTAAGAAACAAATTTTACTTTAAGTTATTTTTATATTAATTTGCATAATAATATACATAACATTGTTACATAACATGTAAACATATGCAAACAGAAATATAAAGTTCATTTTTGTGATGAAGATCCTGGCTCTTCTGAAATTCTTAACTTTTTTTGTGATGAAATCGTCTAGTGTCATTTGTTACTTTGTTTTTTCTTTCCTTAAGCAAATGTCAGTAGCAAGAGATTGCATACAAAATGCCTCGTCTTGCTTTTGCACTCCTTTCAAAATCTGGATCATTTGCTACAATTTAATTGACAATTTCAATTATCATTACCAAACTTTTACTAAGAAAATCTGTAGAGAAATTCTTTGGGATATTCATTTTCAGAATCACTATTGCCAATCTGCCAGTTTTTGAAGGTCATCATTGGCAAGTCTCTCACCAGAAACCTGCAGTAACTCCTCAATATCATGCTCATCTATATCTCCTAGTCCTACTGTATCAATTAGGTTGACAATTTGGCCAATGATAGGCTCTTCTGGTTGACAATCCTTGGATATCTTCAGCCATACTTTCTTCCACACTCTGTTCATGCATTCATCAGTTAATTCTTGCTATGCAAAGTCAATATTGCCTATGGCATCCATGATGTTATATTTTTTCCAAAATTGCACCAAACATAGATTTAGGGGAAGTACAACCTATGACAAATTGCCACTTTTTGCTGATTGGTTCATGTTTGCAAATAATCATATTATATATGATTCAACAAAATGCTGCAATAATTTGAATCAGCATAAATTTTGAGCTTTTTTTTTTTTAAGGCTTCGACCAGACCACATTATATTAAATCAGCATTAACCGAAGAAGTGCTAAATGAGGTCTTACTGTATTTTTATTTGTACTTATACCTTAAATATGTACTCTATTTATTCCCTGTTATATTATTATGTATTTTATCTCATTTTATTTTTCTTCAACATTCTTTTATAAAAAGAGACCATCAGCATATGTTTAATGAGTTCTATTTTATTTAAATTGTGTTTTTTGAATTTTATTCTATGTAACATTCCATAACCTGAATATGGCTGTTAAAAATAGTTGAAAATGTTTGTTCTTATAATAAATTCTTTAATCTCTAAAATGCATATGTTTATTTTATTGCCATCTTTTGGAAACATCTTTCCTATCTTATTTATTTACTTAAATAAGCATTACTGTTTACAACTTCCTATCCATGATTTAATTCTGTCCAAACCAAATGTATGCTAACTTAACATCAAGCATTTTAATTTTCTTAAGTAATTAGATAAAAATCTGCGATCTTTAAAATCTTGTATTTTCATATATTGAAAAAATATAAAAAAAAGTATGATCATCTATGCTTACTAAAAAAATGTTAGAATCAGTAACAAAATTAGCAATAGTCTTTTAATCTGTTTTGTTAAATGGCAAAACAGATTAAAAAGACTATTTGGCATAAAAATTTGTTTTCTAACACAAAGGATGTCAATTGTGCAGCCCACGTCATTCAACCTAGTTTGCCATCAAGCCAAGAGTCCAGTTGACAAGAAAATGCTAGATTAAAGCATTCTAGTAGATTGATCACTTATTATTATTTGAATCTGTGGTCTCCCTCAAGTGCAGTGGTATAACTAAAAGCAGTCCTCTATATCAGTTTGATACTCATTCTAACACAATACATAAAAGTATAAAAACAAAAAACTAATGAAACATTAGTAAATATTCCCCTCTGGAAACATATGAGATAATTAGCATTTTAGAAATAGCAGCACATTTTTTCATAAGATGAAAAAGATGTCAATAACTTCAATAAAAATCAAAATTAAAAAGTCATTAAAAAGCATATTAAATCAAGTGAATTGAGAGCTACTTAGCTAATAAAAATATATTGTTGAATTTCAAATGGTAGCTGTATTACGTATTATATAGGTAAATGTCTCTTCAATCCGAACAAAATTTCGGTAGACTTTCTCACAGCTCTGAGCTGTGAGAAAGTCTACCGAAGACTTTCTCACAGCTCTGAGCTGTGAGAAAGTCTACCGAAATTTTGTTCGGATTGAAGAGACATTTACCTATATAATACGTAATACAGCTACCATTTGAAATTCAACAAGGGATTCGTAAAGCTATAACATGCCACTGTCATTAACTTATTTCAATTTTTTTACTTTGTNAATTCCAGTAGGCAAATTTAAATTTTCGCCAGTGCTGTGGCGCTGCAATCTTTGGCTATGTCTTGGGCTACTCAAATATTTTACGTTTTTGATACTAAATTAATTTCTGAACTATAATTTTTTATTGTTTCTATATTTTTCAATGTATTTATTTTGTTTGTACAAAATAAAAAATAATTTTTAACGATACAATAGTCTTCATTAGGCTTAACATCGACAAAAATTCAACGCAAAGCGACACGCAACGGAGAAAAATTTCAACATGGGATAGGTTAATATATTTTTCGTACATAATCGGTTATCCGAAATATCGATTTTCCGAACAACCCAGTCCCCAATTGATTCGGATAATTGACGCTCTACTGTATTTGTAAAATCAATTAAACAAAATTGCTATCTTTACATGTAAGCAAAACAAAAAAAAAAGAACTTAAAATAAATAAACCTTTTTATTAAAAAAAATTAAAACTTTAGATTTCAAATTTTTCAAGTAATATAATATAGATAATAAATATGACACCAATAATTACCTTTGTAAGAAACATCAATAATTAATGATTGTATATATAATCAAGAAGTTATGGCAAACTACTATTAAATTTCCATGGTTATTAGTAAGAGATCAATCATCACAGAATTTAAAAAAAAAAAAAAAAAAAACATGACAAACAGAAAATAAAGCAAAGGAACAAAATAAAAATTTTGCAGTTATGATAATTATAATATTATCACAATCTGTGAATTAACAACAAAATATACCAAAAAGACACTTTGTATATGGTACAATTTACAATTTAAAAATTTCTTTAATTATATTAAACAGTTTATAATTTTATTTTCTTAAATCTAGAAATATTTAAGTATAAATATCAGGGCTGTGAAATCGCGTAAAAATCTACCAACTCCAACTCTTCCTTACCATCCGACTCCGTTTCATATACATAACAAATTGGTAAGTAAAAGGGAGTCGGAGTCGGCAGATGTTTTGACGACTCTGACTCCGGTTAAAACTCCAAAACTCCACGACTCCGACTCCACAGTCCTGATAAATACTTTTAATATTAAAATAATAATTTTATTATATTCATATTGAATTATTATTTTCCAGATAACTATTCATTTTCAATATAAGAAGTCAAAATATTTAAGACATCTTAAATTTTATTTACTAACTACATTTCCTCCATTTTTCAACTGAAATCTTAGTTTACAGAAGTGTGCATTTAAAAATGGGATCATAATTTTCTATATTAATAATAATTTCTATATGTTTATAAATGATAATTTTATTGAGATTTAACTTGATTTAAAACCTTAAAAATATATATTATTATTATTTTTTTAATTTATTTTAAGTTTTGCCAAGTATTGTAAAACAATGCTCAAAATTTTAAAAATTATTCAAAAAATTTACTTAGTCTTTTAAATCAATTAGAAAAAAAAATAATGTTAATGGCCTGATAATTAAGGTAAGTAAAAAAAAGTATCAGCTACTGCTCTGAAAAAATTGGATTTGAAAAAGTTCCTTAGAAATTTTAATAGAGTAAACTCTGAAATGTAGGATTGTTTCTCTATCACCTTCCCATCCCATTGTAGGCTTGGTGAAGCTCATAAGCATAAAAAAAATCTTAGATGTTCAGAGCAGAATATCAATAAAAATTTTAAAAAGATATACTTGATGGCATTTAAAAGTACTTGATCTAATTTCAAAATTTGTCTCTAATAGTTTGCCAAATTTATAAAATTTAATTACTGATTATTACTCAATTTATCAGAATAATCTACATGTAAATATATTGCCACTTGTTGATTTTAAAAAATTTACACAAAACAACAGAAATAAGATTGAAATATGCATCTTTCAATCAATATGTAAATGTATTAATAGTTATACCATCTACATATTCTGAATTATATTTCTATAAAATACAAACTTATGCCAGTACAAAAAAAACTCCATTATCATGATAACTAAGGATTCCTTATCATTTACATATTGGTATATTATATCTGACTTTTTGACAAAATTAATTAAAATCATTAAAATTATATTAGGTTATCTTTATTACAAACCAAATATTTTTTTACATATACAATATGTATTAAGATATAAAAGTTATGCTGATAAAGTATTATCGGAAGATGTAAGAAATCTTGATAGCATGATAAATAATAATTGAATTTATATGATAATCTAATATGACTGGCAACTATAAGTTACTGACAGTATAACTCACAACAGAATCACATGTTGCCTAAAACTTACAATTTTAAATACTACTCCCAAGCCATTGATTAATTTTTAAAAATTTTTAATTAATTTAAAATTATCAAAAGTTGACCATATGCAATAACAATTGCAAAATTAAATTATAAAATTTAACTTAAAGGTTGCTATCTTGTGTTAAAATTAATAATTAGAAATTATTTAAATAATTCAGAAAATTCTTGAAAAAAGATCAATGTGGAGCAGGATACAAACTACAACTTCTGCTTATCAGGCAAATACATTATTACATATATCACTCTCAAGGGAACTCACTCCAGTTTGAAACTGAGTTTCAGGGAAAAAGTTTTGAATTGAAATAACTTGACTTCTGGTTGCATTGGAAATTCGTATATAGTTAATCGGAAGCCTCCTGCCCCTAAGATTTCCATATCTAGTCTGAGATTTCATCTATCTAACTCTGTTCTTGAGATTAAGGGAAGACAGATTGATAACAGTGGAAATTTATAGGTCTACAATTTTTTCAAATTGCAGCCCATTTATTTAAAAAAAATTCTGTGATGACAATTTGTTATATAAACTTTGAGTCTTTATAATACTGTATTAGTAAATTATCCGGAGAAGACATTTTATATATAATCATATAATCTGCATATGTACTGTACTGTATCAATACATAAACTAATCTTAAGGCATTATGACTGTACTTTTTTTTTTGTTTTCTTTTATATTGAATATTTTGTATTATATAAATTCACAATTTATAAATTTAAATTTTTTGAAAATACAACTTATTCTATTCTAGTGTATTAATAAAAGAAACAAGTTTTATGATATACATTACATTATGAATGATCTTATTTTGGAATGGATGACAGATGGTTATTCAGTTAATTTGTTAGGCAACTTTAATCCAAGAGATTGCAAGAATATCTATCTGTGGAAAGAAAAATGTATTTTTAGCTAAATTTCTAAATGAAAATTAAAATAAGTGATTTAATTATATAGTGTCAATTATTTGATTTAACTTTGAATTATAAAAAAATATTGAAAATAAAATTTTTGATCACTACAAAATATTATTCAAATAAAGATCTGACTTTTTGATATGCAATCAGAAATACTTTTCAAAATGAAAGCTAAATAAAAGCTGAAAATATTCATTACTTAATTTTTTAACACTAGTGTTCAAAAGTTAAATAATAAATAAAAATAGATTCTCTTACAGTTTAAACTTAATACCTGAATTTTAAAATATTATAAATTAATTAGGATTAAGATTTTGGTTTATTCATCATCATTTATAAAAAAGATATTCTATAAAGGCAAATGGCTTTTCCCCACTTATCAAAAAATCTTTAAACATGTATCAACTGAACTAAATAAAGATGATAAAATGCCAAATGTTTGAATTTATTACACTACATAATGTTTAAGAATCAAAGAAGAGTCACAACACTTTCAGATTATCAAAAAAATCTTCAATTTCTCATACTGAAAACAAACAAGTTGCACACATTAATGTATTCTTGCATTACAGTACAACCGGTCATACTTTTAGAAATGCAATATTATTTTAATTTTTGTAATTTTTAATTTAAAAAATGTATACTGCATTTTTAAAGATATGAGTAATTGTACTGTAGTTTATGACAAATGCAGTTTTGCTGAAAAGTGTATTTTCTTGCATTATTATTACCACTATTCTACGAAGATTTTGAATGATATGAAATTTCAAGTATTTTATACTAAAATAATTGAAGTAAAGAAACATTCATTGTATTACCAGTATTTAAGAAATTTTTTTTCATTATTTTGAACAGTTATCTTCAATAAGTAATAGATATGTATATATCAATGGTGCGGTTTACTTTATATTACTTTTAAAAAATCAATTTTTCAAAAATATTTCCTCAAAATTGATGAAAAAACTTTATGGGTTAATTGTACCTAAATAANTAAATGGAATTCTCTTTTCTTTGTGTTTCTTTTATTAAATACATCATATAAACACATCTCAATATGAAATGACAGTGTTAATCTGTTATATAAATCTAAATTTAAGACAAATAAAATCCAGAATGAACGTTTTAAGCCTACATTTTCTACAACTATAGTTAAATTTGCATACAGAGATTAGTTTTTTTAAACCATTCTCACTGAACTAACCATTCAGTGTGTCAGAATTGTCACAGGTAGTGTCATAGCTCAACAATCTAGACAAACTGGTGTCGTCTCATGGCTTATGATTATCATTTGTATGTCTAACTTATCTTTTCATGCATTCTTAAGTGCCATAAACACTATTGCTGTTAGTTTTGATTGGCTGTTAAGAGTGAAAATAACAGGATATTAAATCTTTTTTTTCCATATTTAAAATTTTATAGACAATGTATAAATGGAAAAAAATCCGTAAAGTCTATTATTGTTCTTTATATGGCCCTTAAAAGTTAATGTAACATCTCTATAACATTTTGAATTTCTCTTTAGTTTTGTACACGATCACTACTAATTATGAAACTTTACATGCCACTTTATATAGGGTATACATTTTTATATTTTGCTATAAATTATAAATTTTATAACTTTATTATTAAAATATTTAGAATTACACAATAAAATTTGATTGCTTTTTTTTTTACTAAAAAATTTGAAATTATAAAACTGCTTGCGAAAATAATACGTTTAAGAATGAGTAAATGATATAATGCTATGAATTTAAATTTTTGAAACAAGTTTTAAGCATTATTTCAAATGAAAGTGATAGATCTATAAACTTATTACATAAGATGTTAGAACATTTAAGTAATTCTATAATAGATATAATTACAGTTATGAAAAAGTAGTATAGTAAAGTATAAACATAAAATATTTAGACAAATAACTAGTAAAAAGATGCTATTACAACAATTAACTTTTAATATTTTCATTTTAAAATTTCTAATAAACATTTAAACATGCAAGTTTTTTCTATATATAAATACAGTGGTGCCTCGTATATCGTACACCTCGAATAACAGACGCTGCAAACAACGGACTTTCTGTTTGGCCATTACGTGAGGCAAACAACAGACTTTCTGCAAACAAGTGTGAATGATGTTGCCACTCTTTTGCCATTGTCAATGACAATCTGCTATTTTTATAATATATTATTAGTATATCTAAAGTACAGAGCTCCCATGGGATTCAGCTTGCTCCGTTGTTTATTACATACATCACCTCAGAGCAGGGTATTTACATTTATCAAGTGTTGTGCAAATCATGGCTTCTAAAAAAACAGAAAGGTGATTTCAATAGAAACAAAACAAGACATCATCAGAAAGAGTGAAAGTTGACAAAAACTTCCTTGTCAAATGGGGAGAGGTTCAGGAGTTTACCAACACTCATTATCCAAACAGAGTTGAGACTACCAGGATCAATGATCTCTACAATGACACCCTTGCCCATCATTTCTGACAGGTGTTGAAGAAGAGAGAGAAACAGACCACATTGGACATGTTTTTCAAGAAGCAAGCTGCCAAAAAACAAAGGATGGAACAAGAGATGACCTTGCAAGCTCCAGTAGCCTCTCCTGATTCTGACTCCGATTAAGAAACAATAAAAAGAGACCTGCTGCAATATGTAAAAAGTCTGTATCTGTATGAATGTGTAAAGAAAGTGTTCCTCCACCTCCTCCTCACAACATCTCACTACCCGGCATAATTGGTGACTGCTCCATTTTCGTTTTTTTTTATGGAACAGTACGGTTATTTTATGCTGCAGAACAAATTATATGTTTTAACATGTATTTCTATGGTAAAATGTGTTTCATATAATGGACTTTTCACTTAATGGACGTGCACCTGGAATGGATTAAGTACATTATACAAGGCACCACTGAATTAAGTTTTTCTTTGTTTGGAAAAAACTTTTCCAGATTATAACAACGATCTAACAATGGTTATTTAAAAATTAAACACTTATTTCTTAAATAATATCAGAACAATAAGATAAAAATATAAGATATTTCACTATCCATATTAATTTAAACATTTTTTATTTCAATTCTATTGGTTTGATTATCATTATTAGAGAACAGTCAAACTGTTTCTTTACCCTATTATAATAGTGTTAAACAAGTCCAATAATACAAAATTAATAATAATTTAAAAAATATAAAATCTTCACCACCTTATTTTCATAATTTTAATTCAATATTTAATACGAACAAACAAAAAAACAAATATAGCATTGTATCACATACTTCTTCCAATGTGAAGAAAGTCAGACACTTGTGAGAACTTTTGATATCATTCTACAATATCTCAATGTGATGGGATATGGAGACACTCAACTTGGAACTTTCTGGATATGAATAACACCCTCCCATTTCCCATACCATACTACACACTGGCCCTCTGCTGCAGTGTGATTGCCATTTTGCATCCCCATGCATATACACTATCACATAGCAAAGTATTGAAATGAACATACACCACCCTGAAACTGACAACTTTCCAACACACATACAGTGGTGCCTTGTATTTGAACTTAATTCATTCCAGGAGATTGTTTGAGGTCCTAAACAATTTTTCCCATAAGAAATAATGGAAAGTGAATTAATTCATTCCCTGACTCTGAACAATACCCATTTTGATAAACTAAAAACTGCAAATACATATTATTTAATGTAAAATTAAGACAATTACATGCTCTAATAATAAATTAAACCTTGAAAACAAATAAAATACATAAATAATGTATAATAAACTGAAAAATCCATTTAATCACTGTCAACTTTAGCATCTTAAACATGGCCATCAGATTGGCCACACATGTACTGCTTTCATGCTTTGTGATAAGTTCCTTTTGCATTTCAATTGTGATACAACCACCTTTCTTTTAGACTGTTGCTTCCACACTCTTTTCTGATTCCATAATTAATAAGTAAAAGTTATATTGAGTTGAAGAGAAAGTTTTTGTCTATTTTTAACAGCTGTCATTACTTAACATAGTTGTGTGATTTACTTGCAACAGTCATGAAATTTAACTCATTAACTCAAGAGACTATTCATTATTTAAAAGCTTATTTTAAACTTTTTACTTCACATTTTTTTCAAATAAAATGAAGTCAACATGTCTCCAGATAAAAAGCATATCCAGCATGCTACTCTTTATAAATTTTGGAAAGGATATAATGCCATACAAACAGTATAAAAAAAAGGTTTCTAATGTGTATGGGAAGATGCTCATAAGCTTTGAATATGCAAATGTAGTTTAAAAAGTTCCATTCTGGAAATTTTGAAGTAACAGATAAACAATGTACAGGGCATTCAAAAGATATCCATGAAGAAAAATTGCAGGATGAAATTGTTAAAAAATTGATAAACACTAGATTATATATATATTAAGACACACAAAAAACACTAGATTATATATATATATAATCTAGTGTTTTTTTTATCAATTTTTTAACAATTTCACCCTGATATATATATATATATAACCAAACATACCAAAAACAACCTTTTAACATATTTTGGGAAAAAAAAGTCAGTTTGAAGGAAGATGCAGACACTTGAGCCAACATGAAGGGGCCTTTGGACCCATCTGTGTAAATATTAATGTCAGCATGGTTATCCAGGGTGGAAGCAGATGACACCAGATGCACCCTGGGGATAACCCTGCTGACATGGTGAAGAGCACAGTTAGTGGTGTAGTTGCAGTGTGGAAGCATATGAATAGCTGTAGATAGGAGCAGAGACTGTTGTTGAACCTTGATGTTTGTGGGTCTGATGGAGTAGTTAAGAACTTTTTCTTCTATACATAGTGGTAAAGGAAGGAGCTCTACTAGTATCAGAGAGACATTTGTAGAAACAGTTCTGCAGCACTTTGAAATTCTGATGGCAACTGTCTTTGGAGAGAGAGTAATTTACTTGCTATTGTATTTTTACTC